CAGTTCCAGAAGGACACAGTTCAACCCCAATCTGGTAATACACTATTGACAATGGATGATGGATTGTGGCTGTGCGTATGCCCAATCTTACAGCCTGGGGGCTCAGTGTATTAGTTATCTATTGCTACGAGAGAAATTACCCTAAAACTTAGCGACATGCACTTGTTATCTCACATGATTTCTGGGAGTCAGGAACCTGGGAACAGCTTAGCTGGGAAGACCTGGCTCAGGGTCTCTTGCAAGGCTGAAGTCAAGCTGTCAGCGAGTGCTAAAGTCACCTCAACCTTAACTAGACATGCGGTAGACCAGGGGTTTTCAAATGGGAGAGATTTTGCTCCCCCAAGCGTATCAGGCAATCTGTAGACATTTTCGGTTGTCATAACTGGGTAGTAGTCCTCCTGGAATCTCGTGGGTAGAGACCAGGGATGCTGCTGAACATTCTATAATTCTCAGGATAGCCTCCCACATGAAAGAATGATCTGTCCCCAAAACGTCAAGAGGGCTAAGAAACTCCACTAGTGAGCCTTCTTTTGCTCTGGCCCCAACGCAAAACTGGCCGCCTTGTGTGTTACACAAAACGTTGCCATGAACAATACACTCAAAAGGTACATGCTATCTTAAAAATCAAGAGAGGTACAGGGGAGCCTGGGTGGCTCAGTCGGTTGGGCATCCGACCTCGGCTCAGGTCACGATCTCACGGCTCATGAGTTCGAGCCCCCTATCAGACTCTGTGCTGAGAGCTCGGAGCCTGGAGCCTGCTTCAGATTCTGCGTCTCCCTCTCTTTCTGCTCCTCCCCCATTCATGCTCTGTCTCAAAAATAAATAAACGTTAAAATTTTTTTTTACAAAAATCAAAAGAGGTACAAAACATTGTAGCTCTTTCTCAGTGGTAGGTGGTACAAACTATAGCAATTCACCTTTCACTTTGGAGAGTAAATGCCAAATTTTCCAGACTACTGGAAATGCCACTAGGAAGTAAGCCTCTGATTTTTCTGGGGGGTTATTTCCCACCGTCTGGCATACATGTGTCTCATTAAGGTATCTAGGGTATGTGCTATGTCCTAATCACCATGTCAATAACATAATATATCAGCATGCTCTTCTGGGGACCATCAGGGTGATCGAGGTGCCTGCAGATCAGCTCTTATCAGAGAGCAGATGAGTCGACATAGGACAGTGAGGGTGTTTTGCTGATCCTGCTAGTTTGAAAGCAAGCTCCTGCTGGTAATCTTTGCTAATTTGGTAATGAGGAAGAAAACCATCTGTCAGATCAATGGCTGCATACAAAGTGCCAGGCGCGCTGCTGTGTCATCCAGTAAAGAGACTACATTGGGTCCAGTCCCCGAATAATTTTACAGGAACCCACAGGCCCTCCCCAATAACCTTCTCACTGTTGCACGTGCCACACAGATGAATTAAATCAGGGTATGACAGAACGAACCCTGTTTGTTCAAGGGTTAGATGGAAACCGTGGTCTCTGAAGTGCCCCCCAGGGATACGGTATTGCTTTCAGTTTACTCCAATTTAGGAACGGCAGATTCCAGGAAGCTTCTGCAAGGCCATGCCTCCTATCCTAAGGCTCACTGCTCAGGTTAGGGAATCAAAATGGGGTCCTTCGAGGTGCTGGATACCTATTACAACTGTATTCAGGAGTGGGAAAATAACCATATGCGGATCAACGGACCCATTGGAATCCTGTGAGGCAGCCACAGGCCAAAATTTCATTTATCCCTAGATAACCATAAGTGACACCCACCCCCGGTGCTCCAGAGGCATTTTGGGCCTCTGGAGATTAGCGCTGACTCAGAACCAATGTCCAGAAATCCCCTCAAGGTCTGGCTGGCTATTCTCCCCTCGTCAGTGCACAGTCACCCAGTGAATGACTGCAGGTCTTTTGGAAAGACTTTAAAGGAAGATTTATGCTAGAAGCTTACAAAATGCTATCCAGCCCTTTCTTTGTCTATGGTTAGAGTTCTCAAACCTGATCATGCATCAGAATGAGTGGAAGGGCTTGCCGGAATGCAGACTGTGGGACCCACCGTCAGAGTGTGTGTGTCAGTAGGACTGGGTAGGGCCTGAAAACCTTGCACGTATCACAAATTCCCAAGTGATGCTGCTGCTGCTCCTTGGCCACAGTTTGAGAATCAGTGATCTCCGGATTTCTGTATCTCTGAACTGACTCAGGTCTGGGACTTGGGTGATAAACAATGACTCTCCATCGAACAACTTAGTTTCTGTTCATTAGACCTGGAGATTTCCTAATTACATACATCAAGCCATTCTTAGCCGACTGCCCATTTATTTCGGTCCCAGGGCCACTGAGAACAATGAGCCAATGCTAAAGATCCCTGGGTGCTCAAATACTCTGCTTGCTGCCTCAGGCACTATGCCCGTCACAATAACAGCACCCACCTCGCTTCTAGCTGTTACGGGCTGCCACTTGGCTCTGGCCCTGCAGAAGCCTGTCATCCACTGAAATCAAGAAGTTTGTTGTAATGGAGACGTCTTCTCCCCATTAGTGGGTCTCTTAAGAACCCCTGGGCAAGAAAGAGAGCTCAAAGCCTCTGCCAGGTCTGGAGAAGCTTGACAACAATAATACCAATTGAGAAAGATCTTTCCCCTTGGTTACCACTCTGTCTCCCCAAGTCCCATTCTGGAAGGACCAGAAACCGTGGCTAACATGGTGGTGGGGGGGAGGGAGGGGTCATAGGGTAGAAGCAGTGAATGGGCTGAAGGCTTCTCACTTGCTTAAGGGACAAGAAGGGGGCTTATCTGCAAAGCAAGATTTTGATGGTTACATGAAATTTAATTACTAAAATAAGAGTATATTTTGTGACTTGAAGTGACTGGAGATCCATGCGTCTACTACTTTGATAGTGACCAGAGAACTCAGGTGTCTCCCTACGTTTCCATCCAGGTGGTAGTAAAGAAACCTCCACGGGGTGGCTTATAAAAGACCCTGGGAAAGACAAGTAAGGTTGCTTCGTAATTGGACCCTCTACGACCCGTGTGTTCAATGTACCTGCTACAATGGCAAATGATGTGGAAACACACAGAGGTGGTTGCAATCTCCGTAGAGAAGGCAGAAGATAAAAGAGCATGCTCCCAAACACAGCCAAGGCTTCCCAGATTCCCAAGGGACCTCAGAGACAGGCGGCTGTGAATGGCACCATCACGAGCAATGAGGATTCTGCCATGGCCTAGAAGCACACTCATGGGCTTCTATAGCCTTCTGGCCCTCCCCCTCACCTGACTGCTCGAGGGACCCTGCTAATGTGCCCACACACTCGTGCCCACAGAGGAGACTGAGTGAAATGAAAGACAATCTCACAGGAGTATCCCGCAGGAGGCTCAGACTTTAGGTATGCCTGAGTTTCATTCCTGAATGTCCCCGAACCATTCTTTGGAAAGTATATCATTCCCTCTCATTTTGGCAGACGATAAAATAAGCGTTTTAAGTAAGGCATTCACATATATGGAGAAGTCTGTTTCTGTATTCTGTTCTCTTCCTTAGACGCATTAGCCTAGGCTCTCGCTGGCACCAGAAGAGCGAAAAGGCCGGTGGGGCTGGAGTGAAATATCAGAGGGGAGAAGGAAAATAGGACAGGTCAGAGAGGAATATTCTCAGGGGTGGGAGGAGACTCCTGTTTGGCCTTTAAACTCCGAGTGAGCCACTGCAGGCTTGTGAGCAGAGGGTGAAGTGATCGGGTAGGTGTTAACAGGATGAATCTGGCTGCTGTGTTCTGTGGAGAACAGGCTGTGGGGCGCATGAGTGGAAGCAGGAAGTTATTGAAATAATCCAGGTGAGAGATGACAGCTTCCTGGACCAGGGTACTGGTGGTGGAAGTGGTGAGACGGTGAGAATCTGGGTGTATTCTGAGGGTCGGGCCAGCAAGTTCCCTAATGGATTGGATGTGAAGTGTGAACAAGAGTGAGGTCAAGGTTCTTGTCTGAGTAACGGGAAGGATGGAATGACTACGGCCTAAAGTGAGATAGAGGGTGAGGGGCACAGGTTTTAGGAAAAGACCAAATTCTAGACATGTTTAACGTGAAAGATCTCTGGTATTTAAGGAGAGATGTCCGATACATGAGTTTTCCAGAGAGATCCAGGTCAGGGACAACTTGGGGCCTTTAAGACAGACACAGTATCTAATATCTTATGATTCGATTAGATCACCAAAGGAGGGGGCAGAGACAGTGGTGAGATCTAAAGACTGGGACCTGGGGCATCCCAACATCAAGGCATCATGGAGATGGAAAGAAACCAGCAAAAGAGAGCAAGAAGGAACAGCATATATGGTCGGAAGAGAGAGTATGGGATCACCGAAGCCAAGAGAAGACAGTGGTCCAAGAAGAACGGATTGATCAGCTCAGCTGCTGACAAGAGCGGCTGCAAAGCAAGAAGACAACCAAGAACTCACCACTGGATACCTGGTGACTTGCCAAGAGCAGTTTTGGCAGAGCGGCGGGGCCGAAAGTCCTCACTGGAGAACTTTCTAGAAGATGAGCAGAAGTGTTAGAGACCGTAGACATCATTTTTCTGGGAGTTTGGCTACAAAAGGGAACAGACAAACGGGGTAGTGAGGGAGAGGACCAGCGGAATCAATGAGTAGCTTTTTTTTCCTTTCTTTTAAGATGCAAGAAACGACAGTACGTCGGATTCAGGCTGGAGTGGTCCGGTAGAGAGGAGACACTGGCGATGTAATAGGGAAAGGAAGAAGTGTCAAAATAATGTATGGGCAGGCAAACGGGCACTCTCAAACACTGCAGGGAAGCTGTATACTGGTTCAAGGTTTTCAAAGGGAAATTTGGCATTATATATCAAAATTATGGATGCAGGTATCCTTGAACCCAACAACTTTATTTCCAAGATTCGATTCTGCAGATAAGCTAGCATCTGTGTGCAAAGACGGATCAACCTTATTTATTAGAACACTGTATATAATACCAAAGCCTGGAAAACCTTACATTTATATTGATAGCGCATGGTAAATCCATACCTGAAATACTATGCAGCACTAAAACTAAAGCAGACCTCTATGTTCCGTTCTGGGGTTACCTAAGTGAAAAATATCAAGGTACAAGAAAGTACTTGATTTGCTTCCACCTGTGAAAAAAAGCAGGGAATAAGGTGATTATTAACAGAAAGATACAGTTATACATAAAACATATGTGTATGTACATAGAACATTTCTGAGAGATGAGGATTTACTTTCCATTGGATATCCTTCTCTAAGGTTTCAATTATTTTTAAGAAGTGTATTTATTATTTTTCACTAAAGATTACTACAAAGAAAGGGGCAACTGGTGGCTCAGTTGGTTAAGCGTCGGACTTTGGCTCAGGTCATGATCTCGCAGTCTGTGAGTCTGAGCCCTGCCTCGGGCTCTGTGCTGACAGCTCAGAGCCTGGAGCCTGCTTCGGATTCTGTGTCTCCCCCTCTCTCCCCCCTCCCCAGCTCATGTTCTGTCTCTCTCTGACTCTCAAAAAATGAATAAATGCTAAAAAAATTTTTTTTAAATTTTAACAAGATTACTACAAAGAGAAAAATATCTTTTGCTAGAAAGAAAAAAAGCAAATTTAACAATTCTGGCTGTGCATTATTTTATGAACATAAAGGACACTTTCTTCTATAACATTTAAGGAAGAAATGCCATTCTCTTCTAGGCTGTTCTAGAAAGTAGAGGGGGGAAAACCTCTTCTAAACTGATTTTTACTGAACCAGCAATGTCTTCATTCAATAATTTGCAACACTGGAACATAAACTTTCATTATGTACATGCAACTTAAAAGATTTTTAGTTTCAGAGTGTATTTCTGTGGGACATACAATAGGCATCCAATAAAAACATGTTGGGTTGAATCAGGTTGGTAATTAGATGAATGTCAGCCCGAAGCATGTGGGAAATGGAATTGAAATACAAAACATCATTGAAGTTCCCTTCTTTGAAAGTTTGTAGGTATGTATGTCTGTATGTGTGCTTACTACAGATTAGCATCTGTTCTTTTTATTCTCAGTTTACTGCACAGAATATAAGGGGGCTATGAACTAAACCAAATGGCCATCTTGATATAATTTAGCAAACTATTTCGTCATATCATTAACAATTAAAAAGTTATCAAGTAGCGGGAAACCTGGGTGGCTCAGTCAGCTCCGCCGCGGGCTCTGTGCTCACAGCTCGAAGCCTGGAGCCTGCTTCGGATTGTGTCTCCCTCTCTCTCTGCCCCTCCCCTACTCGAGCTCGCTCTCTCTCTCTCAAAAATAAATACTAAAAAAACAAATTTTTGAAAGAGAAGAAGTTATCAAGTAGGGATGGAAAATAAAATGAGGAGAAGACCAATTTCCAGAAGCAGAAATCATTCCTGAGACTGGAGTCTGAGAACGCACCCATACTGAATTAAGAGGGTATTTTAAACATAAAGGTACTCAAATGAAAAGTCCTTAAAAATAAAGAACTGTGCCCATTAGGTACTTCTGAACAGGGAAAGTAGAAATTCATCATTTTTAGTGTCTGTCAGCATGGAATCTCTTGTTTAGTACTTTCATGAGCCACATTCATATTGAAGACCACATCGAAGCTTTTGATGGATGACAAGACCTTGAACTGCCTTCTGAAATACCGAGTAAGACTACATTCCTTCCTATGTTTTTAGTAGTAAGCATACTTATCGTAATCAACTCTTTTGAAAACCAGCACTCTGTGCTACCTAATAGCATCATATATAATAATCCTCTTGTTTCTCAACCTTAAGCATCAGGGATTCTCTGCTATTTATTTAAGCTTGTGTGTTTTTTCTTTCCCTGGTTTACTGAATTATTTATTAGTTACACAGGATTCATGCTCTGTGTTAAGTGCCACTTCTCTTCTGCGGCTGGAACACAAGTACATATTCAATTTCATTATCAATTTAAAGCTCACCTGAAGCTAAGGAGGTCATCATTCATTGTGATGGAATCGCTGGGATGGTCGTATATTTTCAAAAACATTAAGATTTTGTTTTTAATGTTGGGTCTATTTGCTGCTTTTTTGTTTGCTAATAGACAATGATATATAGGCTATATATGAAATCTTTACACGGCGGTGCAATTATTTGTAGGCAAGATCCACAACTTGACAGGCTTCCGAGATGAAAAAAGGTGAAATTCGGTTCGCTGGCAAAATGTTCATCTTGAATTCAAACAGGAAATGATTGATGGAGCATTCTCATACCTGTATGCAAGTCGATGCAAGGGGCTGCAGACCAGTGTTTTTCAGACTTTACGGTGCATACGAATCAGCAGGGGATACTGTTACCATGCAGAGTTGGATTCACAGGCCTGGGATGGGACCAGAGATCTTGCATTTTTAAGAAGGTCCCAGGTGATGCTGCCGCTGCTATTTCCTAGACCTCACCTTGAACAGGAAGGTAGAAAGCAACGGTCACCAATCCTGGGTGCACATTATAGAGGAACCTCAGAGAAATATACATGTCCAGGTTCCAATTCACATCAACTGTATGAGAACTTCTGGAGATGATTTTTTAACGTTTCCCAAGTGGTAAGGACTGAATGTGTTCCCCCAAATTCATATGTTAAAACCCTCATCCCTTATGTGATGGTATCTGGAGACAAGGCTTTTGGGAGGTAGTTAGATTTAAATGATGTCATGAGGGCAGAGCCCTCATGATGGGACTAGTATCCTTGTAAGAACAGATACCAGAGAGCTGTGAGACACAGTGAGAAGATGGCCATCTGCAAGCCAACAAGAGGAACCCAGATAGGCTGACACCCTGATCCCAGACTTCCAGCTCCTAGAACTGTAAGAAAATAAATCTCTGTTGTTTCAGCCACCTCGTTTATGGCATTTTGTTATGGCGACCCAAGCCAAGGCACAGGGAGAGTCCAACATTATGCAGCCTAGGTTGACAACCATCGTTGTAGAGAATAGTGAAGTAATACAATCATAACTTTGTTGTAGGATGCTTTCACCTACTGGGGAGCTAAGACATGAGCCTATAAAAGTCATTGGTACTCAAGTGTAAGCGCGGGCCAGAGAGGTAGAGTATTAAGAGATTCAGAACAAGAGTGTACCCAGGATGGAGATGATGAGGGAAGAAGGCCATCACTTCTTCAAGAGTCCTGCTGAGGAAAACATTTTTAAGACTGAAGGTATAATTTACATTATGCAATAAAAGGGCTGCACAGACATTAAGCATTGTTATGACTTTGATCATTGTATACACTGGGTGTACTCATTACCTCAATCAAAATATAGAACACTGCCATCACCCTAGAAAGTTCATTGGAATCCTGTCCAGTCAATTCCCACCATTCACAGAGGCAAACACCATTCCGATTTCCATCACCGTAAATTAGCATGGTCTGGTTTATAATTTCACATAAATGGAACCCACGGTATATACATTTTTGTGTCTGGCTTCCTTTACTCAACATAATCATTTTGAGATTTATCCACATCATTACATGCATCAATATGTGTAATCTCCTTTTATGGCTGAATGATATTCCATGGCATAGATACATAACAATGTGCCTACCTTCCTAACTGTTGCTGGACCTTTCAGTTGTTTCCAGTGTAGGGCTATTAGAAATAAAGCTACTGTGAATGTTCTTCCTAACGTTTTTTTAAAAAAACATATTTCCATTTCTCTAAGGTAAATACCTAGAGGTGATCTTTCCAGGCTATGGGATAAATGTACATTTAACTTTATAAATGAATTGCCAAACGGTTCCCCAAAACCGTTTGGCAATAATTTTATGCGCCCACCAGCAACGTGCATGAGTTCTGGTTGCTCCATTTACTCACCTTAGTGTTGTCAGCATTTTGTAAAATCTGCTCACCTGTGTGACAAGACCAAGACTTTTGAGAAGCAATTTAGCAAAGTAGTTAAGAGAATGGAGCCCTTGGGGCGCCCGGGTGGCTCAGTCCTTTAAGCGTCCTACTCCTGATTGGGGTTCAGGTAATGATCTCTTGGTTCATGAGTTCGAGCCCCATGTCCAGCTCTGCTGACAGTGTGGAGCCTGCTTGGGATTACCCTCCCGCCCCGCCCTTCCCCTGCGTGCATGCACTCTCTTTCTCTCTCTCTCAAAAATACATAAATAAAAATTTTTTTAAAAAAGAAAAAAGATTAAAAAAAAAAAGCATTGAGTACTTGGAGGATAATCTAGAAATACAAAGAAAGAGATGTAATAACCCTTTGAACCAGCAATCCCACTTCTAGGAATCTGCCAACATTTTTATCTGCTCAACTGTAAGAGATAAAGGCACAAGCTTATTCCCTGCAGCACTGTTCGCAATAATAAAAGGTTAGAAAGAATGCAAATATCCAGTAACAGGGAACTAGTTGAAATAAACCACAGTATACCAACACAATGGAGTTCTAAAAAGTTGTAAAGAAAGAATGAGGAAGGATTGCATGTACTGATATAAAGAGATCTCCGGAATATATATCATTAAGTGGAAAATACTTTTAAAAAGCAAGGGTATGTGTACAAAGAAGGGAAGGATTAAATTAAAGCTATATATCAACACACACACACATACATATATATGCAAAAAAAACTGTAGTAGAATGGACATATAAATAGGAACTAATAAAATATGGTCATGTGTAGAACAGAAAAACAAAGTAGAGGGAGCAGGGGTAGAAATAGACTTTTTAAAAATGTTTATTTATTTATTTTTGAGAGACAGAACACTAGCAGGGGAGGGGCAGAGAGACAGAGGGAGATACAGAATCCAAAACAGGCTCCAGGCTCTGAGCGCTCAGCACAGAGCCCAACGCGGGACTCGAACCTATGAACCTTGACGTCATGACCTGAGCCGAACTTGAACGCTTAACTGACTAAGCCACCCAGGTGCCCCGAAATAGGACTTCTTTGTGCATATTTTTCCATAGAGTTTTGATTTTGAATCGTATAAATGCATTACCATTAAAAAATTACAACTAAGGCATTCAACTGAAATAAGTTTGCTGTATTTTATTAAACTCTAAAAAAATTCACAACCAAAAAAATCCTAGAACTAAAAAGCAAACCTGAACATGTATCAAATTAGTACCATAATCACACAGAAAAATTGTGGAAACACACTGATCTCATGAAAATCTAGGAGTTCATAATGCTACTCGAAAAGAGACAAGCAGAAATCAGTGGTCATCACTGAGGCTGTTATTAACCAATTTTTCCCTTTGAGAACTGACCAAGGAAGAAGCACTTCTCCTGCTTCCCCGGTTTGAAATGTTTTTCAGGGCAACCAAATAGATCTAATGTAGTTAGAGAGAGCTCTTCTTCACTAAGGA